ATTAACTGGTCTCTATACTATATGTTCACATCTAAGTAACAGCAAATACTTGGTTATAGCATACAAAAAATGGTTAAAACTGTAATTCAAGACTCGATGATATTCCGATTATTTAAGTTTATCAACTCTTATTTAGTACGCATTAAGGCTGCCAAGATCAATTATCGGTTGTGAAATATTGAAACAATATTCTAAAGTAAAATCCCAAGACGTAAAAGAGTATTTCGAGGAGCCGAATGCCGAAGTGACCACCATCTCATAAAAGTAAAAATTACTCTACCCATACCTAGTCGGAAAATTCACACACCTATAAAGTGGAACAGTTACAGGACAATTTAACAATTTAGGACGAAAGTACAAGACAACTTGATAAACAAAGGTTGCACGTTAGACTAACAACTACCACAAGAATATAGTCATGAATCAACTGAAAACCTAAATAAAATAATTGCAAAAGGAATGCACAGAGCTCCCAAAGAAGGCAGACCCACAGGGAAGAATTACTGATGGCACGATGAGCTACAACAAATGAACATACCACAGCAAAAGTTATATCACAGATGGTTGAATAAGAAAGAACAAGAACTCAAGATAATAATATAACCAAATTTAAATCTACGGTAATACAAGCAAAAAACCAATGCTGGGAAAATAAATGCCAGGAACTAGATACATATAAATATATTGGTGGAAGAAAATGAAAAGAATCCATAATCCGGTGCGAAATCACCGTTTGTCAACCCGAATTTCAACAGATTTTGTATAGTTGAATATTGCGATTGAAATGAGAGCTACTCAGCATTTGTGGATCATTCCGTATTAAGTCCTACGTACAAATTCTTAGGTATCCATAGGAGTTGCGAAAACTTTATTATTTAAATCTCTCCATTAAGTTAGAGAAGCTGGGGACGATTCAACAGAAATGTGATTTTTTTTGTCAAAACTTGTGAATTTTCCAGGACTTTGGGCCGTCGTGGAAATAAATTTATTCCTAAAGTTTCGCAAGCACGAGTTTTTTTCGTGTACATTTTCAGGGATACGATAAAAGGATCACGAATAAATTATTTTGCACCACCCTCTTAAAGCCCGAAAAACTGACGTATTTCATCTTGAGTTAAGTTTCGAACAAAGTATTTACGATTCTTCTGCTCAAATGTACAAATATGAAAGTATATATTTTCGATCAACAAATATTAATATTTTATTTTAAGTATTGCACACTTTGAAACACGTTCCTTAGAAAATCAAATTGAAACAATCGTAATTGCTTACTTGTGCAAGTCACTTTGAAAATATTTGCTTTAAAATTAAATAAATTAATTAAATTATGTCTATAATATGTAAATATACATAAATATTTACGTTTCTTAAATTTAAATATTTATGTAATTTTTTGCATTAGATTCCTGGCTGCAGGATTTTGGACGTTTTAATTTATTTAGTATAAATATTAATTTTAGTTGTTATCTACCTTTGAATGTCCCTAAAAACAAATCCAAGCGATATAGAGGCAGTGATATGACAGGTTTACTTTCAAAGGACCTTTAAAGTAAATTTAATACCTTGTACTTCCAGTTTATTTATTTAACATCGTAAGTTTCGAATGCGATAGCTTGGGTGTATACATGAAATCGTTACTTATTGCACTTTATGAGACTGTCTGAAAGTACTTTTAACATATGGTTAGTTTGAAATTGGTCTATTCAAACATATTTTACAACGAGGAAATAAATTACCAGACGCGCAGACGAATTATAGCAACGAATTAGTATTACATAAAAAAAATTAAAATATATTAAATTCAGCCCTTGTACATGCAGATTAATGAAAATTCTGACAATAAATTTCCATCAGATTTTTTACAAATGACTCGAAGGCCGAGTTTCAACACATTTGAATTGAAGAATCTGCATGTCGTGATCTCCAGAAGAAAAAGCATAGAATGTACAAAAAACGATCCGCTGCAAAGGAACATACATGATCCAGCTAAAATAAGCGCCCACGTTCACCATCGAGGTACTAAAAAAATTCATTACAAATAATTGTATACTTATGTGGTAAAACATATTGGCTATTTGTAATCGAAACATTTAAAACTTTTGAAGAACTTTTTTCCACATCATCCAGTTTCGCACACAATTTCAGCTCTCTATGTTAAAAACCCCTTTATATTTAAAACCGACTTAAGATATAGCTGGTTATCACCATTTGAAAGTCTGTTATAGTATTTACTAGGCACACAATTTATGGATTACTATGGACAAATTAACAAATACGTTTTTAGTTGACTCATTTTAGAAGAATTACATCGAATGCAATTTATACAAAAAAAAACTGTACATTTAATGTTATATAATAAGACGCAACTGTCGAATTGTTTCACAAAATTAGCTAAACTCTGAATATAATTCTTATTTACTTATTGTATGAATAAAAATCCACACTTTTGCTCAACTTTATTGTACAAAATTGTTCAAATTGTGAGAATTTATCGTGAAAATACTGTTTTGATTCGATCGGTAAGCATATAATGATAATTCGTCGTACATAAAACATGTCCCAAGTATTTGTTCAAATCGAAATTACCATATTGTAACAACACTGCAAGTTTTTAAGAAAGTGCCACGAAAGATTCATAACGAATAATAGGACACTAACTGTCTGTTTTTATAATTTAAAATAATTGTTTTTAAATATATTTTTGTTTTCGTACAGGAACAAAAGAAGAAATAATGAAGTTYCAGGTTAATGTTGCAGTTCAACATATATTCAATTGTTTTAAAAATCATTATTTAACTTGCTATAATGTCAAATCAATATTTACTAAAACTAAAACAAACTGTTTGAAAATCTGCATATTGTATTTGCTTCCGTAGAAACTTGAGTATAAAATGATATAGAGAATCCGCATCAAGAAGGTATGAAGAAAATGAGAAGAAAGAAGAAACAACGTCGCAAAGAAGATCATCAGAAGAATCGGTCCATAAAAGTAGCATTACATCGAATTCAAGGTTTAAAAATCCATTAGTTAAAAGTATGCTTCGTTTTAAGGCTTACCCGCAAAACTATTGTTTGCCAACATACAAGTGAATCAAACGGAGCCAAGTTTGCGGACAGATATTTATTCTGAACGTATAATCAGCAGCAACATTGAATGGCCAAGAAATCCACAAATAATGACTCGTTGCACTACAAGTCAAAGCTTGAGGTAAGTTAAAATTGGACGCCTTACTTTTACCTCATTCTGTATTTTCTTGTAAAAAAACTGCTACTTGCAAACCCATATTTTGCATCAATAAGGCAAGTTTTGCTGTAGGCAAGGCTCAAATACTAATTTGATGATTATAAAATAAAAAACTAGTTTTTGTCATTGTGTAGCGGCTCATAAATCCTCAAACTTGGACTATTCCTACTTGCATCTTAAAGTTTATTTGGTTCAAAATAGGACCGATGACAAGCGGCGATCGAATAGCGAAGATCGCAACTGTAGAGACCGACGAAAACGACGAGATTCTTCCCATCATCGACATAGAAGATCAAGATCCAGATCAGATTCCCGTTCCAGAAGTCGGATCTACAGACACTCAAAGGCCTATAGAGCACGTTCAATTTCTCCCAGGCGCTCGGCTGACATGTCCAGGAAAAGACATCGGCATTAACAGAATGATCAGAATGAAGTAAATCATTTACAAACATTATTGTAAGTTTGAAGTTTCTGTGAACAAAACTTATCCGTTTATTCTACTTGTTTTATCCATCCAATGTTTTATGCAATTGGTATTTAATCGCAAGTTTCACATTTATGCTGATGCGCCTCAAATTGTAAACAGTAATAATTTAAAGAGATTAAAGTTAGACCCTCAGAACAATATATGTATAAACAAATATTATCAAGTGAAAATATGTAAATCCAGTGATTGTTGAAAGAAAACTTCAGTTGTTTCTCAACATTTCCATTAGAACGAAAGTTTCGTTACTCACAAATTCTAAGTGAATAATTTAAAAATAAGCACTTCATTATGCCATTCAATGTAATTTATTTTATCTTTTATTCATATCTATTTAAAAAACGAATCGTTGCACAGTAATAATATCTACCAAATAAAATTGACTGAAATGAAACAATACTAAAAAACCTCAGAATAATTTTGAATGCAGTTACATACAGTATTCCTGGCCTTACTTTTTACCCCAACCCCATAAGCCTTTAACAAATCCGGATATTCCTGCGCCTTGTTTCCCTTTGGTTTGTCCTTCCAATTTTTCAGTAAGATCAGGGAATGCCACTAGATTATTAGCCAAATCAAAGAACAAAGGTTTGGCGGGTACTGGTTCCATACTGGGTGGCAATGAAACCAAATTCGGATTTTTAGATAAGAGCTGCGGCTCTTCCCTAAACTCATCGAGCCTCTCAATTAGAGGCTTCTTAGATTTATATAATTTTGTCGGTACTGTTACAGTATGTTCATCTTGACTATCCAAAACGAAATTGGCTTTGGTATTGGCGATTTCAGTTTCAGTGGTCTCTTTCACTAATGCAACAAGGCTGGACAACTCCGGAATGTATTCAGACGGTTTTAAATTGGCGCTAGCTTTTAATGCGACATCAAGTAAGACCACCGCTTCTCTCCATCTCTTCGCTCCTGCGTGAGTTCTTGCTAAATAGTATGAACGCAGAGCTTTATATGCAGCCAACTGACTTGTAAAGTACTCTTGAGCGGAGTCGTTGTTTTTAATCGACTCATTTTGAGACAGTTCGTTAGTCTGTTGAATATTGATGTCCAGCAACCTTAAATTAGAAACGTTTATAAGAATTTGCATGCATGAAATGTCTGGAAGTTCTCACCTCACAGTCTTGAGGTTTTTTGGTTTGTTCAACAAGCAATAGATTCCTTTGCGATGTTCTTTCGATTCGAATGGATAGCAAGTAGGTCAAGAGGAGCTGATCCTGTTTATCTGTACGAGCACTTTCTCTTGTTAAAGAAATAACATCACGTAAATCGATAAATACATTTTCCAGAATTTTTATTTTTGCTTGATTATCCTCAGCGTTTTTCAAAGAGTCATCAAGACCTGGAATGTAAGAGCACGTTGTCTAGAACCACCAGAATCGCTATGCTGACCTATTCTACCTTCAATGCTCAATAAGAAAAGGCGAACTCTTTCAATTTTAATCGGAATTTTCGTCCCAAACCAAGTCACTTCGTGTAGTATTGCAGCAGTTTTTTCCTTAGTTTGAGATATTAGAGCATCAAATGTTTCAAGAACTCCTGCAAATGCACATATGTGTTATCAGTAAGTCACGATGGCCAAAGCTAAATCTGACCTTGGCTTCGTAACTCCAGCAGGTTTACGGCTTTTTCATCGCCAATATTGTAAGCACAATAACGCAAACTTGGGGCGATTTCTTCCACCCTTTGCTTGTAGGGCAACTGATCCTCTTCGGAAAGTGTTGTAGCGAGTTTTTCATATATTACCTGCAGATATTAAAAATACTCGTAACGACTTAAGGTTCATCATTCTAACCGCAGGGTTGGGAAGTGTAAAGAAGATATAACGATATTAACACTACTTTACACCTTATAATCTGTGAAACACCTAGCCCGACTTACCTGAGCTTTTTTCAAGTTTTCTGCAGCTTTGACCCATAATTCAAGTTCAAATTGCAAAGAACCATGAATCCAAGCCACATAAGCCTGAGCCTCAAGTTGAGTGCGCGCATCACATCGTTGCATCTACGATTTTAATTATAAATTATTCCAAGTGGCAGATTGAATACAGTCAAAGTTTGTTTATTCAATACCTTACACAATTCATCTAACTGTAAGGCGTAAATGCAGGCTTTTCTCAACTTCTGAATTAGGTGGAATTTTTTTCGAGGTTCAGTATTTGATTCTTGTTTCAACTGCATCGCATAGGCCCAACACCTTTCTGATAAGATGAGCGGTATATGAAGAAATCTCTCATCAGACCTAAATTTTTTGATTTATGAAGTATCAAAATCAATCAAGCAAGTATTTTCTTTTGAAAAATGGTAGATTGATAACAGTGCTGTATGATTCTTTATTAAATGGTTGCTGCAGGTAATGTTAATAAGAAGCACCTCGTTAAGTAATGGTTTGAAATTATCGAATAATGTTTAAAATATAACTTCAAAACCATAGTGTATTTATTTAGGGTAAATTGCAATACAAATAATTATTTTGACTTTAAATTCCGTAACAAACAATTCAGCTCGGTGCATATTTTACTTTAGGTGAATATTTTATTTCTTTCTCTGTAACAACTCTTTAAACGGATTTTACGAATTTATCTATTTATATTGTCCAGGATAGTATTTAGAGAGATGTTATAAAGAAACAAGCACTAAGAATGCATTTACAAGTAGCATGAAGTGTCAGATGTAGCAAAAAAACATTACTTAATAAGAAAAACTACAAATGTTTCTATTTCTACTAGTATTTGTCCCTATGATCCATCAGTACATTGTTTACCAAGTCGGATTCTGGGTTTACTTTCTTTTAGATGTTACATTATTTTCTCCTTCGCTTTCCGATCTAGTATTTCATTTTCTTACGTATCTCATTTGTTCTATGAAGATTAAATAAATACATTTCTTAAGTTCCGTTAACAGTTACGTGAGTATTGCGAATGGTTGCCATAAAATAAAAGAAAAATTCGACGCCACCGTATTTTCAACTCGATTTTTTTATACCTATTTTAAATCCGCGGTCATTTTACTAAAATAACCGTATCGTAAGGACTTATAAGGATAAACAAACGCATTATTTTTGTGAGATGAAAATGCCAGGTAGGCTGTATTTCATACTTCATATCAGACTTTACATTTTTTTATATTTTTATACTGTAGATACAATAAATTGAACATTAATTAATGCGAAAAACTATCAGTGTAGATTTTTTCAGCTTGGTTTCTTTTTTAATGTATTTTGTTTTGTAAATACGGGCATGAGCCGACAAGGATAAAGAAAATGTCTATACATATTTGTTATATAAAATATACAAAGTTTTAAATACAAAAATACGACTGAAGGAAGTAGGGTAATTCCAGGTGAAATATGAACATGGATTTTCTGGCTATGAAGTGTCTAATCGATAAAATAACTATTCGAATGTAAACGATGCTTACCTAGGGTTAATAATGTGATTTTCTGTAACATCTCGTTTCTTGAAGTGTCTTCGATCACCTTGTGGAAGCCTCAATACCTTTCGAAGCCTACTAATTCGCCTAGAGCAGTATCCTCGGTACCTCTGGTAATCACCATGTCTCAATCCGTGCTGCTGTTGCACATATTTGATTAATTTCAAGACTGGAAAATAAGCATTCTTATAACCCAGGCAATACTACAACATATGGAACTATAACTTACTTTCTAAAGTAAAGGGCTGTAGGACCTCGACATTTTTCTTTTCAATTGGATCTACCTCACTTGGAGGAGACTCTACTATGGGAATTTCAGATATCACCATCTTATAAATTAGAAATATTTAAGAATTACTTCTGAATTATTTTCCAAAATATTGAATTGGTTCTTTTTGACGTCTTCGCTTGGTTAAAGTCACAATGACATATGCCACATATTGGGTTTTTCTGACTAAGAATATAAACTCGAGATGCGAAAAATGAGAGTCACCGTGTGAATAATGCTATGCCGTCGTTGTCATGTTGCTTGCCTAGATAAAGATGGGATGATAGCAAGATCAACATGGCGCAGAACAGTTTCAACAATGCACAACTTACCCAAATGTATTTTGTAAAATTGCAAAGGGAATTTTGAATACAATTTTCACCAGAAAATGATAAATATAAACATCACTAATTCGCAAAAGTTTCCAAGTTGTAATAACACTATAAAGATTTAATTGGAAATACGAGAGACTGTGTGACGTATGTGATTCGTTCCGTTGGAAATTCAAAAAGAAAATAATGCTTTTTCGATTCAAAGACGGAAACTGGCTGGTTTTCTGGAAGAGGAAGTTTTTTTCATCCCTTGGTTATTTTTTCACGACCGGTAGTTGATTATTTTCGCAAAAAAAATGAATTTTTAAATTGAAAATTACTGACATTTCTTGTCGCGCTGAAGTGAGAGATTCCATTTTCTTATATCAATGACAACTCAACATCAAATTGTATAAGAACATTTTAAGGTGTTCTTCAGAGGTCTCTGCTTCACAGTCTTGAGGGCTTTGTATAATAATGGATCAGAAAAGCGGAGTTAGAGTGAAGAACTGAGTAATTTAAGGGTAAGTACAGTTCTTCCTTTACTGGGAAGAGTGTTTTGTGTCGATCGACATAAAATAACATGTTTCTATTAGTATAATTTAGAGATTAATTAGATATAGACAGATAAATATACTATAGATAGATATTTAGTTGCTCGTATAAGGACAAGTACCCATAGTACTTATCCGGCCTTCTCCATTAGGTAATTTGGTCAATGTAAATTTGAGAGTGTAGATACTAATGTCTGTTGGGTATTCAAATATGGGGTATCTTTGATTGTATATTTTTTATTTTTATATTAAAGTATTCAAATACTTAAAAAATTGCTTGTTTTGCAAAAAACCGAATATCCACAAAATTGGTAATGGCCACAAAATTAAATTGGATGGTTCCACAATTTTAGCAAAGGAACCATCAACAAATAATATAAATACGTAAAAAAACTTACACAAATTACAAAAGAGCGAAATACACAAAGCGAACTTTTCACATATGTATGATTTGTCTTCAATTATCGTTGTTTATCTATAATAATATACACATTTGTTTGTGCCTTTCAATAAAGTTTAAAGAATTGGTGTCGAAACACCAACGTAAATTTTCTGAATTAACTTCTTCACTATTAAGCAAGTGTGTTAGGTATACAACTGCCCAACAATTTGAATCTTATATTTACATTCACATTTAAATTTAATTTAACAGTTAAGTTAATTCACTGAATTTAAGTTAACTATAACTGTTGAAAAAATCAATGCTCAATCTATGTTAAACTGGTAAGTAATTTCCTTTTGCTCTTAAATATTTGCTATTCATTGATCAATGAAAATTTATATAATATGTTCTAAAGTTTGTTCCCACTTATTAAAATAATATATTAGTAACTTTTTGCGTGTTAGTGGTGTTATATATAGACACAAAAAGTATTACGTACTAAAAAAAACTATTATTATTTTATTTGT